AGCTCGAACTCAAAAACATTCTGCAGGAGGAGCTTCTTGAAAATCTTTATTACAAATTAACCAAAATTAAATTTCCTCAGTTTGACGTAAGGTAATAGATATTATTTCGCGGCCCATTAAAAAAGTTAAAGCAATTGAAGAAAAAAAAAATTTATATTGCTGGTGAATTAAGACAAGTATGTATTTATTTACGGCAGAGTTTATTATAGTCTGCATCAAACTCAACTTGCCGGAAGATTGGTTCCATTTTATGAATTTTTCTCCAGGAGAGAAGTCGCCTAAATTCCCGCGAATCGCCGGACAAATTCCCACGATGATAAGACGAAAGTTAGAGATTATATTATATTTTTATATTTTTATATTTATAACACGCTTATTTGCCATTGAGAGCGCAACTGTACCGAGGTTTGCCACTTTTAAATTCTTTTGTGGCCATTAATGAAACTTTCGATGTCTAACAGCTAGATGATTTCGAATCAATTAAACTACTGAACGTCTGTACAATTTCACTCGCATGTCCATTCTAAGCTTTTGCCTTAAATCTTTCACTAATATCTGTATATTTTTTATGAGTAACTTTTTCGTGAGTGAAAAATGAAATTGGCAATGAAGATGAATGGATTAATCGACGTTGATAAGTGTAACATTTTTGTGCCAAACTCTCCGAAAGCTAATATCGTTGTTATTAAATTTATTAAATATCGTAAAAAATTTCGATCAATTTATTTTGTTTACAAACGAAGTGAACAATGGATACAAAAAATATATATTATTATGCAGGAAGAAAATTTAGTCACTTGTTGCACACGCACACATAAATACATTTTGATAAAGTGTATAAACTCGAATAATTGTGCAACATTCTTTGGGACATTCTGATGTATAATAAAAATTTATATTTGTATTTTATATCCTACATATATTTGATGTGTGATTGACAAGAACAAATATATTCAACACGTGTTATAATAGTTAAACGGTTTTTAAAAGCCTAAAATTAGAATCGTATTTAATTGTCATATCATGTGATTAATTGTTAATCAATATTTTAATATTTACATTGTAAATGTTACATGAAAAAGTGAAACTATAAATTATATAAATTATCTTTATTAAATATTACCAAAATCCGCGAAAAATGAATAATTTCATTGAATTGAATTAATTAACTATATGTAAAATATAACAAAATCAATAGTTTTAAGATATAAAATAAAAGTAACTTAAAAATTAATAATATGTTTTATTAACTATAATTAATTATATATATTAATAATGTAAAAATAATATGTAATATGTAAATGTAAGGAAACCTTAATTATAAGTGACAAATAAAATGCAATGCATACCAGTTATATTGTCTAAACCGATGGGATGCATACACGTGACACCGCAATCATGCCTGCAACATTTTGCTAAATCTGGGCAACGAGAGTCATCGACGCAAGCTATTAAACAAACAGCTTCAAAGGGTGACATGGATGCTTTATCAGGACAGTAACCAGGTTTTGTGTAATTGGATGCCAAGCAATTTTCCATACACTAAAACAAAACAATACATCGAACGGTTATATATACATATGTATGTACAATATATATATTCTGAGTGAGGAAATAAATATGTGTTGTAAAAAAGAAAAAGAAAAAATAGAGTGGGATAATAAAAAAAAACAGGAGTAATAAGATGCATTTTCTTTTCATGCTTTCTTCATTTTTTTTTTTTTTTTTTTTTTTATAATTTACGGATCTAAAAATCTGAAAAAATTTCATAAAATACTTGATATTAATACCAACATGCTGCAAAAATTCATTGGCATTATTTATATTTTGCACAAGATTATCTCTGCTTAGAAAATTTTACTTGAATTATAATTTTTAACATATAAAATTTTTGCCCAACTTTGGTAGTACAGAATTTTTTACTTGAGTTGTAGGGTATTAGAGAAGTTTTTAATTAAATTCTTTTTTTATTTTCCGTTTATAAAGATAAAGGTAAAAAATTGGGGTCGAGAGAAATTTTTTGGGAAGGAACATTATTTTCTATTTCTTGCAGATTAATTTGCTTGCTTGTTTATCAAAATAAAAGTCCTATTTCGAAGAGAAATCAATTTACAATATCTTCTAGCAGACAATATACTTCCCTTGCATGCATGTTATGATCATGTATCTACTCGTCAAACTTTTCATTTAAATTAAAGCTTATCGAAAATTACGTGCCTTAAAGCAAAATATTTTATGATTGCACATTCTATATCAAGACTTTTACATTTTTATAATATTCATCGCCATTATGAAGTATAATATTTTTATATATATTACTGCAATATTAAAACGATTGTTTCGACAATACAATCTATTATTGTTCTTCTAATCCTTTTGACGTGTCTTGACTGCATGAAATTGTTTGATTGATTAAATATCTTTTATTCGTAAGATCGATGGAAACCACGAGAAGAGGGACGACTTTCTTTCATTCGGGAAATGATAAGGATGGTTCAAGATGAATAACATGGAATCGCTATGAATAATGATCTTAGGGATATAAAAGTACGTTTCTATTCTTACGAATTCATTGAATAATGATATGCCTTTCATAAGTAATGAACGAAGCGACTGAGTTAACACAGAATGTCTTATTTTAATTCACTTATATATGTCTGTCAAGTGTGTTTTTAAACTATTTATTATTAGATAAGCACGAGTTTTATTTGACAATCAAGTGAAAATGCTTCCAAGGATTTCGAGGTGGTCGCCTTTTTAAGCTGAATGCATGCTGATTTTTGAACATTTAAAAATTGTTCCCTATCTGCGGTATAGTAATTTGTTGACAGGCGAATATTCGTATTGTCAGAAGTGACGGGTCTTCCTTCATTTTTTTTTTTTCCACCATAAATTTTTATACTTGTTGTCTATATAATTATCGTATCACTTTCTTGTCATTTTGTCGGAGATTAATAATTAAATAAAACTTAAATACTGATGATAATGTGATCAGAGTATCTGGCAAATACCAGAACTTACGTATGGAGAATGTATTGCTGTTCTTAAAATATCTTTTGATATTGTAACTGGAGAAAGGGAAATGTTCTAGAATCCGTTCAGGAAGCTCGATACTATTGACCAACTAACAATAAGTGGCAACCAGAAATGATTACGATACTGATTACAGATATTCTTGTATATACGGAAATATTCTTCTATTCATCTACGTGAGTTTTCAATTGCATTTATAACTGAATTTTTTTATAGAATCCGCAAGCATAGTTGAAACTCTATTGATTAATTCATCCATTGCTTAAACATCAATTATCCAGTATAGTAAGTTGAAGAACTCAATCGGTTATTATATATGTCATACCATGTCAGATCATTTTATTTAAAGTTGATCGACTGGTACTTATTTGTATATATTTCTGAAAACATGATTAAAGAAATAGAACTTTGCATGATTTCTTCACATGTAAGTTTAAAATTTTATTTAACTGTGTGTAAAAACACACAGTTTAATAATAAAATCTAACTGTTCTTTATTAAATTAATGCAGGTATTAATAAAGCGAAATATTGTGTTAAATATTATTAAATAGAAAGATATTGAGACATCTCAGTGAGATATATATATATATATATATATATATATATATAT